ACCACCACTTTCATTAAATTAAATTTCCACAATCCGAACATTTCTCTGGTTTGTCTTACGGATTTTCCCGAGAGTGATCCCTCTGGTGTCTAGTCAGCAGACAACGTTGATTAAACCATTTCTCACACATAGAACACTTGAACAGCGATTCTAAATGACTTTGTTGATGCAAATTCAGAGAATTCTTTGAAATAAATTTTTTCCCACAACCATTACATTTAAATGGCTTAATTCCACAGTGAGCCAACAGGTGGCGCTTCAAAGGAGTCTGTGAAGTAAACTTTTTCCCGCATTCAGAACATTCTAATTTCTTTTGTCGAGTGTGCCTTGTCTTGTGTATTTCTAAAGAGTCACTTTCTCTAAACCTTTTCCCACACTTAGAGCACTCAAATGGGTATTCTGGGGAGTGAGTCTGTCTATGCTTCTTCAGAGTGGCGGCTCGCAGGAACTTCTTTCCACACTCTGTGCAGGTGAACGCACTTTCCACAGAATGAATCATCTGGTCTTTCATCCTTTCACTTTCAATAAATCTTTTATACACTTCTTCAAAAGACATATCAGGCTGCGGTGAAGGTGAAGCCTCATCACATGTATTTTCTATGGCACAAGAAGGCTCTCCGGTGTCAACAAGCTTTCTACACACTTTTATATGGCACATTACATACCAGCTCTCTGTGTAGCTGTATACTATGCCACACCATTTGCAGCGGCGATCTGAAAAAGAGAGGCACGGAAAGAGATCAGACACCAACAAAGAAAACAGCAAAAAAATGAAGGCTTGACCATCATTACGTTTGTATAATACTAAATAAAGCGCCTTAGATGTTGCCAGGATGCAGTAGAGGTAATGGCTGTAATCAACAAGCAGAGAATTTTATCTCCAAAGAAAATCATCAAATACCACTTTGCCAATTACTATCAACCTCTAGAATACACCAATTTACACTTCAGCATTCATCTCAGACAGCACTAGAAACATTTCATCATCTTTTTAAGACCTTTAACCCAGAAACTATTAAAGCTCTATGCTTTTGCTTGCAGATATGTTCCTCACAGCTAAATTCTAGGCCACAAACTCTACCTCATAGTAACTGTACACTAAAGTCCCTCAAAACCAACACCCTTTTTCCAATGCCACTTCCTTCTACTGTATTTGTTCTCCTGTACGTTATAAATTGGTAATGCAGAAGTGAAATCATTTTAAAGCATTGGTCAATTTTGAAAAGCTAATCTTTTATCCCACTTTTTTTTTTTTTACCTATCTCTCTCTCACTTGCTCTCGCTCCTTTTATAAAGGAAAAGATAAATGTCACTATATACATACCTTTCAACTTGTCCATTGTAGTGTCTACTTTGCAGGCTTTCTTGACAAGCCCTAATTCTTTCTGCAATTATCTCTGCATCTCCACATGAGCTCACTCCCCCTGTTTGCAATGAGATCTTTTACAATATATTCATCAGTGTTTCATCACAAATAAAGTACAATTGGTTTTGAATTCATCACAGAATTGTACTAACCTGCTAATTATAAAATCTGTCTCCTGTGCACCAGTGTATTTATCCTCCGTCCTGAAATACGACTACGATGATCTCAGCTTCAGTCAGTCACTGCCAAATTTACAGCATCAATACATGCACCGACTGGGAGTTCAGCAGTGGTCCACACGTCTCTTCCAACTGCCACAGCCATCCCAAACAACCTGTACATAGAAACATATTCAGAGATCTGGGATGATACTGTTCCTTTATTATATGGATGCCAGTTATCTGTACAGTGTGCAAGAGTTAGTTCTAAATGACCTTATTTGTTTATTCTAACCATTAACCATTATGCGAGAGCAAACTAGTATCAAGGGGACAGGGATGCTGACGGCTAACTTCACACCTATTGGATAAACATTTGCACAAGGTTTTTCATTTGCTTTTATTGAGGAAAAAATAAGAGGTTGGGACACTGGTTTTGTTAAAAATTTGATCCTTTCTATAATTTTCTCTCTATCTGTATGTGAGTTCACTCACAATTTACAATAACATTTATTCTATGATCAAAATAATAATGACAAAAATACCAATGGCAATAAAAGCATTAATAATACTAATATTATCATCAATAATAATAATAATAACAATGATGAAGATGATGATGATAATGAAGATGAAGATGAAGATGATGAAGATGATAACAATAATAATAATAATAATAATGATAATACTCGACAGCAGCGCTGACCTCTGACTGGGATTAAGGAGCTGCAAGCACAACATCAGGCTCGCTGTGACTGGTTGTAATAAAGAAGCAGGAGCATCCGAATCAGTTCAAATCCTGGAATCATGGAGACAACGGCGTTAATGAAAATTGGCGATGAGGTTTTGGACTTTCTTGAGATTGGAGCTGCCATAAAGTGTTTGGAGTTGGAGCACAATATCAATTTTGTTTAGGTTAGATTAGATTACCTTAGGTTAGGTTGTTGTTAAGTTTGGTTTGTTTTGGATAGAATTGGTTTGGTTTAGATTAGGTTAGGATAGTTTAAATTTGTTTTAGTTGAGCTTGGCTTGATTTGTTTAGGCTTGTTTAGGTTAGGTCAGGTCAGGTCAGATTACATTAGGTTATGTCAGTTTGCCAGATTAGGTTTGGTTAGATTTGGTTTAGATTATGCTGCTCATCCTGCCCATCCAGACCAGTTGGACAGGATGTTTTGACAGTTCAGAACCTCTACTTTCTCGTCCTGGACAAGTTGTCCATCTCACCCTCCTGCAAAGCTGGGCGAGCAGGGTAAGATGACGTCACAATAGCCTTTGTATGTAAATAATGACAGATGCAGGTAACCACAAGATATTGATGGGTAATTTTATGGCCCTTTATTGGTCTTATCAAAGGATATTTTGGTGTTTGTCAGTTGCAGGTAAGTTAAACATGCATCAAAGGAGTTACAAAACCTATGCTGCGTGTAAAATAAATATGATAAAAAGAGTGAAAGTTTACTTTCGAGCCGGTTGCATTCTGGGCAGCATGGGTCTTGGAGGTTCCGAACGCAGTCTCGTTTTCCTAGTGGTCCTGGACAAGTTGTCTGTACGAGCAAGGCGAGGAGTTCCGAACGCAGCATTAGGTTCGGTTTGGTTAACTGACTAGTGTTTGGGGTAAAAATAAGGAAAAAAAAAGGCAACACAGTCCGTCTAACAGCAATGCCATGCACAGTAACTGCATGTGGCGCTCCTGTATATGACATTACGGCCATTAGCCAATCAGAGAGCTTCACGGCAGAATATGTGTTTCCCGAATGTTACCGGCTGAAGGTACTAGATAAAATACACAAGGAACCCCCAAAACAAGAATCCAAAAATCTCTCCAAACAGCCTTATATCCAAGCAAACATCCCTAATTAAGCCATCCTACATACCCTATACACTCGCAAATAGACCCCATTAACATCAACCAACTCCAAATTCAATTAAAACAAGCGTAATACTCACTGTCAACAGAAGAAGGCATAAGAGCCAGTGATCTGTCATTCACGTCGATGGCGGCTGACTGGTGACGTCACTGTTTGTTTTGATCGTGTCACGCGCGAATTTTGAATGGGCGGGACCGGGTACGAGGCTCAATTCTTTCTTTCTTTCTTTCTTTTTTGTCTTGTTATAGGTTTCAGATTATTATTCTTTCTTGTTATAGGTTCAAAATTTCTTCTTCCTTGTTATAGATTCATTTTCTTCTTTTGCTGTAGGTTCATTTTTTTCTATCGTTATATGTTCAATTTCCTCTTCTTTCTTGTTACAGGTTTAATTTCTTCTCTCTTTTTATAGGTTCAAATGCTCCTTCTTTTCTCTTGTTATTGTTCTTTTTTTTTACTCTTGTTATAGGTTATTTTTTCTTTCTTGTTTTAGGTTCGATTGCTACTTCTTTCTTATTATAGGTTCGATTTATTTCCTCTCTCGTTATAGGTTCAAATGCTCCTTCTTTCTTGTTGTAGGTTCAATTTCTTCTTCTCACTGTTATAAATTTAATATATTCTTCTCTTGTTATAGATTCAAATGCTCCTTCTTTCTTGTTATAGGTTCAAATTCTTCTCTTGTTATAGGCCCAATGCTCCTTCTTTCTTGTTGTAGGTTCAGTCTCTTCTCTCTTTTTATAGATTCAGTTTCTTCTTCTCTTGTTATAGGTTCAAGTGTTCTTTTTTCTAGTTATAGGTTCAAATTCTTTTCTTTTATTACAGGTACAAATGCTCTTTCTTCTCTCTTGTTGTAGGTTCAATTTCTTTCCTCAGGTTCAAATGCTCATCGTTCTTTTTGTTATATATTCAAAAGCTCCTTCTTGTTATATGTTCAAATTCTTCTCTCTTGTTAAGATGCTGTAAATGTAGAATTCACTCTCTTTTTGGAACATTGGAAAAGACAATAACTTTCCCGATACTCTCTCTCTCTCTCTCTCTCTCTCTCTCTCTCTCTCGCTCTCTCTCTCTCTCCTCTCTCTCTCTCTCTCTCTCTCTCTCTCTCTCTCTCTCTCTCTCTCTCTCTCTCTCTCTCTCTCTCTCTCTCTTCTCTCTCTCGCTCTCTTCGCTCTCTCTCTCTCTCTCTCTCTCTTCTCTCTCGCTCTCTCGCTCTCTCTCTCTCTCTCTCTCTCTCTCTCGCTCTCTCGCTCTCTCGCTCTCTCGCTCTCTCTCGCTCTCTCTCTCTCTCTCTCTCTCTCTCTCTCTCTCTCTCTCTCTCTCTCTCTCTCTCTCTCTCTCTCTCTTCTCTCTCCTCTCTCTCTCTGTTATTAATATCATTATTATTGTTGTTGTTATTATGACTATCATTATCCCTATTATCAGTATCATTATCATTATAATTAACGTTATTGTTATTATTATCATAATTAGCATTATTATCATTAGCATTATTATTGTTACCATTAGCATTATTGTTATTGTTATTGTTATTATTGTTATCATCTTCATTATCATTATTATTATTATTATCATTATCATTGTTACTATCATTATCATTTATATTATATATTTTATTGTTATTCTAATGATGATAATCATCACTATTATCATTATCAGTATCATTAGCTCTTTTAGCATCACTATTATCATCATTATTATCTTTACAATTACTATCATTGTTACTATCACAATCAATATTACTATTATTGATACTATTATTATTACTACTTGTATTACTATTATTGATACTATTATTATTATACTTGTATTACCATTATTTATTATATTATCATCATCATACTATTATTTATTATTTCAATATCACTGACATCATTATTATCATTATTGTTATCATTGTTATCATTACTATCATTATATTATTATCATTATTATTTTCTTTATCATTCCTGCCATTATTATTATCAATATCGTTCTTATCACTATCTCCATTATTATCACTATTATTACTATTATTATTATCATTATTATTATTATTATTATTATTATTATTAATATTATTATTATTATTAGTAGTAGTAGTAGTAGCAGTAGTAGTAGTAGTAGTAGTAGTAGTAGTAGTAGTAGTAGTAGTAGTAGTAGTAGTAGTATCATATCATCCTCCTCCTCATCATCATTCATCAATCACACCACCATCATTCATCAATCACCATCACCACCACCACCATCATTACTATCTACTATCATTTATTAATCATAATTATTCATTGCCTGTCTCTAATCAGATTTAAATTTCGCGCGCTGTTCCTGCAGACGCCATGTTAAGGTAAATAACATCGGCCGCTGAGCGAATCTGCGCCCCGAATGAAACTATTTTCTCCTTTCTTCGCCTGAATATTTAATTCTTTTCGAAACCCGGATGGCGAGGAGGTACAGGAAGAACTGAGGTAACACCTACGAAAGAGAGAATAAAGCGACTGTCTTTCGTGTAAGAGATATTTAGGAAAATAGATAAGGGGAGAGATAGGTCTACCACAGTTCCCCTTCATCACGGGGTTAAAAGTTCCTTATAGAATGACCATTTATGAAAACATTTTATTTGTATTAAAGTTCTGTAATTTTTCCCGGTCTGTCTCTTGTTTCTAGTAAGTCTCGACCTTTTGAAGAAGAAATAAAGAGGTAATAGGGTTGATATTAGCTTAGATCATTAACCAAAACACACCCACGTGTCTCTCCGGCCTGTCGGCACTCCGGCGAAGGCCAAGGAATGCTTCCGTGTTTGTTTACATCGACTAATTGATTTTTAAATTAAAAATCCTTTTTATATATCATTTAAACTAATCTTATTCTTGTTTTGGGACTGAGTTGAGAGGATATTTCGCAGTGGCACTTAGATTATGTGGAGTCTTTGCTTTTAATTGGCTGTAATTTCATTTGAAATCTCGGAAATTGTCTGTCGAACCTCGCGGCTGGCGACTGAAAATGTGAAAAGCATGATAATTCTAAATGAGTGTATAGATAAATCTTAAAACATGTAAATGAAGTATAATAGCATGAATAAAAGACTTTAAAAGCATAAATGTGTAATGGCAGATATTGATAATTAGCCAAATATCATTTTGACAAGTGTGTAGTAATACATGAATGACTTGGGATATTGCAGTAATGAGTTATGCGGTCAGTGTTGTGTTATTCCTAGAAAGGTAAACTAGATGAGCGACTTAGAATCTGAGCGGTGATATGCAGTGTATATTTTCGTCATTTAGCGGTTAATATGAGACCGTTGCAGCAGAAACTATGTTGTATCCTATTCTACTTCTTCCGCTCTTTAAGATCTCCTAGTGTCGCTATAAGTAACTGATACCCAGTGCTTTCTTAATGTTGTTCTACTTCATTTATGTGTTTTGAGATTTATCTTTACAGTTCTCTATAATGATCTGTGAATCATGTGTTTCAGACTTTGTTGCCACCCGCAAGGTTTGTTACTGAAGGCTGGTGAGAAATGTTGCGTTTCCAATACTGCGTTGATTCTGGGTTATTCTTAAAGAGTATACAGTGGCAACAAAGAAGATATAGATTTTAATAACCATCCCAGTTTAATATCTGAGCCCATCAGGTGCCCCAAATGCAGAAAAAAGGGATTAAAATGGAAGCAATCCAGACGGTAGAAGTGAATGAAAGTCTGACGTTTCCAGATAGAAAGGTATTTTGTTTATTTTTTTATGGTGTGAATGCAGCTCTATCTTGACGTACATAGCAAGGTGAAGACAATGTTTCCCCAGGGGGTGTTGGGGGCAGAGCCCTACATCAGCCCTCCCCTCGGGCAGTCACCTAGTCACGGCAACTTAAATTGTTAGATTTTTTTTTATTTGGATGATGTGAATTCCTATAGATTTTACCAAAAGATAGGTTGGATCACCAAGTGAGATCAATTCTTTGTGATTCCCCACATAGCCCCCTATTCTGAAAATACTCTTCTCTTTCAACAGTGCCTCCAAAAACAGGTAGGCAAGGTTACCTTTTGCAGTCACTCTGATCGTTCATATCTTGTCACAGTTACGTCTGAATCCCAAGCTTGTGCACTATCTACCCTAACTGACCTTACTAGCAAACCTATTCCTGCCGAACCTCACCCAACTCTTAATACTTGTACTGGAACTGTTTCTGTTCCCCCAAATGCTTGTCCCATGTATAACAGGGACTGGTCAGACTGTGAAAATGACCTACTTTCCTGCCTTGGTGAATATGGTGCAGTGGCCGTACAGTGTTACACTATTCCTCTCAGAGGCTAGCGTAAGTCCCACGTCAATATTGCCAAGATTGGCTTCCATAGACAAGACCTCCCCCATGAGCTTTATATTGGTGGATTGTCTTGCCATGTCCGACCATATCGACCCCTTCCTCTTTAATGTCAGAAATGTTGGCTTTTTGGCACCGCCAAAACACTGTCTCTCCACAACCTGTTGCCCACTACGTGTCCAACCTGGTCATGACCGTTCAAATTGCCCTGCTCAGTCATGTACATGTGCCAATTGTGGAGACCCATAATGTATTTTATGGGAACTGCCCTGCCTGTAAGCCTGAATGTGAGGTAGCAGTCCTCAGATTCAAACTAGGCCTCACTCTACTTGAGGCCAGACAAGAAGTACAATGACAAGGTTTTTCTCTCTCAATATATTCTAAAACAGTCCTTCGCTCTGCTCCCCCACCCTCTTCTTCGCAAGGCAAATGTTTCTGATACACTCCCAGTAGCACCAGGCAAACTAAACTCCCTTTCCTATGCAGCCAACTTAGATATCTATCTTCTCCTCACCCTTAGTCACCCTGTCCACCCTCCACTCCCTTTCCTACGTACTCTTTCTGCATTTAAAGTATTTGTAGATATCCATCCATCTCCTCACGTTCCCTCCACTCCCCTTCCTCCTGAACCCTTACCCCACTACCTGAATACTCACACTAATCCCCTCTATCACAACAGTGTCCTTCTCTATACCCTCCCCTGCACTTCCTGATACTTTACCACCTTCCCCAGATTCCAGGATTCTTCTACTCCTACTTCTCCAACAGCCACCTCTGTTTCTTTGATCCTGTTCCTTCCCAAGTCACAGATACAATGCAATTCACTCAATCGCTCTACTCCCTTAACCTTTCCCATTTTACTAATCCCTGGTCTACCTCATTTACTTCCCACTTTTCCCTTCTTGCTACCATACTTTCCTAGAACACTCTCTAATCTTTGTTGAACCTTCTCCAGTGACAGATACACTATAATTCACTAAATTGCCCTACCCTGTTAACCCTCCCCTTTCTACTAATATCTGCTCTAGTTCACTTACTTCCCTATTTTCCCTTTTCACTACCTTTATCCGATAATGCTCTCCTATCTTTGAATCTAACACATTTTATCTTAATCTTTACCTCCTCTTTACCCTTTCTGACACAATACTTTACCATAGTGCTAAATGACCTTTGATGTCAAGCACATTTATTTGTTTCAAACATTAAACATTTACAGTATGGATGCACTTGCCAGAGACCAAATCCCCAACTCAATGTCAAAAAGTTTATTCATCAATCTAAGTTGCCGTGACTATGTGTGTGCCCGAATGCCTGAGGGGAAGGTTGATGGCGGCTCTGCCCTCAACATCCCCCAGGAAACATGGTCTTCACCTAGGTACGTACGGCAAGATAGAGCTGAAACTCGAGTGCACCGAGTGGGCATGCTGAAAGCGTCACTTTCTGAGATCTTTTTCCTTTATTTGTGGCATTACTGTTCATGTCTGCAGACTATTTCTTGTACTGATGATTGCAACTTTTTGTTGTCTACAAGAACATCATATTCAGTTTGGCCAAACTTAGCACATCCATACTGTAAATATTAACTGCAGAATTTATTAGTAAGGACCCCCTCCCCCTGGATCCCAAGACTGTACCTTTCTTTGCCTGGAGGAAAGAGCTGTGCCACAACCAGGAGGAAAGGACGCATCCATTTGTTGACCTGTGGATGCTGTTCCTGGAAGGTATCCATCGTGGATAGGTTAAAACCTTCATCTTGTAGGTGATCACATGCATACCAGCAATAGCACTGACCTTTGTCCATTGTTTGCGTGTTTATCCTTCTGCACTATATTATGTCACTAAGGACACTGCGGGGCAAAAGATATTCAAAACACAAACCTGGATGTTATCTGCACTAGGGGATTCTAAGAGGTCAATATCACAGTCCATGCCCCTCCCCCCCCTGCTTAAACTGTATAGTATGATGATATATTGTTTTCCTCTTCTCCCATACAAACAAAAAGAAAGTCAAGGTTTTATTCTCTCTTGTTTGAATTTGGGTGATTAAATTAAGGCAAAAGTTCTCAAAATCTTGAAGCAACTGTGCTTGTTCATTCTCATCTCTGGTAGCATTTATACCTTATTTAAATTTCTTTGCTTCCCAGTCAATGAATGGAAAATTAAAGTTGACGATTATTGTAATACCTTAGCGCTTTGCAGGTTTGATACGATGACTAATGACATATAGTTTTTCACCAAAGAAAACTTTAGTTGAATCAGGGGCCTGTATATGATAACATAATTCTTGAGTGTCCTTGGTCAATACTTCTAGACTTCTG